AAGTGGGTGACACTGAGAAATCTCAGCTGTGTTGTTAAGTTAAATATATTTTCTCATACCGTAATAAATATAAACCTTTTATTTTATTCGTTTATCCACACACTCCGGCTTAAAAGATTAACTCAGTTTTATTTTAATCTACAGTAGAATCCCTCATATCTGGAGTGCCTCATATCCGGAATCCCTCATATCTGGACATGATTTTGAAGTGTGTATTTGAATTAATTGGGTGATATGTAACTCATTTGAAATTTCTGTTTTTCAAGAAATTTACTTTGGATAATTGCTTATGCTTATTTCACCCTAATGACTTGTATTGGTGCAAAAGATGATGGGAATAAGAGGAAAAGATCAACTTTGGAGTAATCACAAAAAGTGGAAATTTTAAATAGACTAGACGCTGATGAAAGGTCATTGTAACTAATGGCTGAGTTCAACATAGGAAAGTCAACATTGTACGATATAAAGTCTTCCAAAGAAACTATTCTCCAGTGTTCACACTGTCACAATTAACAAGGAAATAAAAAAAAAACATCATTGCGATGAAACGAAAAAAAGCTATTGAAATGGTTGTCAGTTTTATGGAAAGAAAGCCAGCATTCAGACATGACGATTGCAATAACGCATGCAGAGTTAAAAAAAAAGTATCTTTCATTTAAGAAAATTCAAGAACTAAAGCAAAACGAAATGTAGAAGTTGAGAATAACATTAGAAGAGAAAGAATCATCATGCAACAAACATTAAAAAATCCTCGTTACATTATTTGTTTTGCATAAGTGGCATAATTAATTTAATGAATTTTCATTAACATTACATAATTTAATTCTTTTTCCTTCAAATCAATTCCGTGATATTTCATTCACCATTAGCTTATTTTGTTTATTATAAAACAATAAATAAATGTTAAACCTGATTTCAGTTCTTTTATTTTAATCTAAATATAACTCCTCACATCCGGACTTTGTAACCAATTCCTCATATCCGAAAGACTATCTAGTTGTCAGGGATTCTACTGTATATTATTTGTTTACGAGTAATGCCCGTGGAAATTTCAAGGTTTCCCTTTTCGCAATTTCTGAAGGATCATAATTCTTAATTTAATCATTAAATAAGTCCTGTAAGGTTTATTGGTGAGGTAAATTCAAATTCCTGTCTAATATTTTGTGTTCCCATTCGCACTACCTTAAGAAATACATGGATCTGTCGCTTCTTACACTTAGCTATGGGTTAAATAACAAGGTGGACTGGAGTCTCTAGTCTTGGTTGGCAGCCTGTATGGGAGAAGACTGAATAACAAACTGTGTAGAAGGTAAGGGGAAACAACTTATTATCTTCCCCATGATGTCATGCTATTTATCAGAAAAGTAAAGGAACCAGTGAAAAGCTGTAATCGCCGAAGGATGATGGGTTTTTTTCTTAATTGTTAAGAAATTTTGAACCTATTCATCATTGAGATGAGTGACCGCTTAAGAACATCAGATATTGTAGGCGATTTGCAGTTTGGTGCCAAACGAGTCAAGTTTAACAATAATAATGCCAATAATATTAGATTAAGCAACGTTGAGCCAGGTTAGTACTTAGATAGGTGACCGCTGGGATTACCAGGAGCAGTAAGCATCGATGTGCGGGTGGTGTAATTGATAATGTATCAGGATTGTTAATCGGAGAGCCGAGTTGCAATTCCAGTTGGGTTCGTTATATTCACTTACGCGCAAATATAATTGGGAAAAGTATGAATCCACCTCTCATCCCCATCTATGGTTTAGTTAGTAAGATTTGTATCACTAAAACGTGAGTTTCTCCAAAAAAATCCTTACAATCTAAAAGCATTTTCTGGCTTTAAATAACCTGCAAAGGGTTGATAAACTGTATAAAATGAACCAATCAATAAAAAACAACACTATTAGAGCACCCAGTTCTGATTCATATACTGATTCCTATACTTAACTTACTGCTTATATCCGCACGCTTTGGTCAAAGCGTTTTTCGATCTTCTTGCCTTGTATAATTCATCTTATATGTAAGGGTTCTTATATTATATATGTATGGCTCGATATTACTTCATTCAGTCTCAATATATTTCTTTCATAAAAATAAGAAGTCATATCTTGTATTTTTTAACACGTAGGCTGCCAGAGGTCATTAACGAAACCCAACGTTATAATAGCTACCTTTGGACAGAGGTCTTTTTGCATGGATTGATTTATAGCTTCAACTAAAGTCTGCGCATTATTTTACTTATTGCCAATAAACTCGTTGTTGGCATCCACAGATAAAAATTGTGTCAGAAAATGCCAAGCACGAGGTGACTTGTAGTTGGCACGTGATAACTCGTCGTCGGCGGCGGCACGATAAAATTTGTATTCGGCACGAGATAGCCCGTAGTCGACGGCGTCATAATTAAAGCTGCCAACCATGAATTATGTCATAGCCGGCAGTCAATGTGTTAATAGGCGTCTATGATTTCGTTGATATAAGGATAAATATTCATGCAGGCGATTGGATTTCGATTTACCTATGAAGATGTGAATTATTACTTTCAGTGTAGATGCCCAAAATGTAAATAGATATTCAAGTTGAGGTCGATTTTTCTGGAACGGTTGCAAATGTCGACAATTATTGTTAATGCTTTAGTGTAATAATTGTTCAGTAATGAGCATTGTTGACAGACCAAGGATTATGAGAGATAGAAAAAAAACTAAGAGGTGCAAAGAAGAGGAAATTGTGGAGAGCCATGGTAGCACATGTCCTTAAGGAACACACAGCATAGAAGAAGAAGAAGAAGAAGAAGAAGAAGAAGAAGAAGAAGAAGAAGTTGTTATATTCCGGGCTAATAGGAATATATACTTGAAAACACGGTGGATAAAATAAGGTGTATTGTAAAAACTAATGCAATAAGAATAAAGGTAACAGTTATGCACAAGGCCGTCACAAGTCAATCCAGGAGTGAGTGCTACTATTGGAAGGTCGCTAGATCACGCGTAAGCCTGAGTCGTGCTCAACAGATCACATTTAGAAATATTTACCAGTTCCCGACGAGGTAGGATGTGGCACAAGGCCGGAGGATGTGGGGCAATCCGAGCCCGTAGGCTCAGCCAAAAATTCTCTGTAACCCCGCATAAACGGGTTCGGGTCTGTCTACCTCCCCGGACGAGACTCCGCCGAAGTGCAGAGTCCCGTTCGGGTTCCACTTTGCCCGAAGGCAGAGAGTTCAACAACAGCTAAGAGCTGAGTAACAGTTCCCAGGTAGACAATATTCACTAGCCCCTCCCTCCACTAGGGTAGATGTGGCACAAGGCCGAGTTTAACATGGGTCTTTCGAGCCCGTAGGCTTGGCCAAAAACTCCCCGTAGAACCCGCATAAACGGGATCGGGTCAGTCTACCTCTCCGAAGGAGACTCTGCCCTTCGGCAGAACCTCGTCCGGGTTTCTCTCTGCTATCGTGCAGAGAGTTCGACAACAGCGAAGAGCTGAGTAACAGATACCTGTTAGACGGTGTTTACTAGCCACCCCACAACCACGAGGGTAGATGTGGTACAAGGCCGAGTTTAACGTGAATTTTCCAAGCTCGTAGGCCCCGACAAAAATTCCCCGTAGAAACGACATAAACGTGATTGGTTCAGTCTACATCCCCGAACGAGACTCTGCCCGAAGGCAGAGAGTTTGATCAACAGCTAAGAACTAAGTAACAGATACCGTCTACAAAATTTAACAGCTCCCCCCCCCACCACCACGAGGGTCGTATGTGGCATAAGGCGGAGTTTATTCCCTTTGAACCTGTATAAACGGGTTCAGTGTCGGTCTACCTCCCCGAACTAGACTCTGCCTTTCGTCATAGCCTCGTCCGGGTTCTTCTCTGCCCGAAGGCAGAGAGCTTGACAACAGCCGAGAGCAGAGTAACAGATACCAGCGAGATTCTGTAGTCCGTTGACTTACATATACTAATAGGTAGCTTCTACCTGTAGTGTAGTCAATCATAGGGGTGACAGGTTATTCCATTACATCAAAAATAGATGCCGATAAAACAAATGGTTGTGTTTTTAAGACCAATGGATACCGTGGACCACTCATGTGAGCAACGAAGAAGCTTTACAGAAAATGGCAAACAGAAGGAAACTTAATATAAGAAAGAGAAAACTGGAATGTTTAAAGTACATAATGGGGAAAAAGGGTTTAGAAAATTTGATACAATACTGAAGGCAAGAAGTGTTACAGTTTTTGGGTACTCTGTGTACTAGTGAGCCAGTCAAAATGAGCTGACTCATTTTATAGTTCACCAATAGAAGGGTTAACCAATCAGAAGGCTCAAAATATTCAATGCGACGTGGTTAAAGGCGGCCATGTTTTTTCCCGAATATTCACTGCCAGCCTTTGATATCGAAGAAAGAAGAATTACGGAACAGCTGCTGGTGGTATTGGCGATATAGTCAGATTCAGTAGAGTGTCTGACTCGTGAGTGTTAATCTTTAACGTTGTTTCATTGAACAGATTACGTACTGCGCTGGATTCTATATTCATAGACTATGGTGAACATGGTTAACAAGAAGGACAGAGAAAGAAAACGCACCGTGAGCTTGAGTAAATCGATGGCTGAACAAAGTGTAGGAGAGATAAGAAAAAGATAAGATTTATTAAGAGGTACAAAAGGAAATCGTGGAGAGACATGATCATCAACGGTCAGAATTAACACTGCAGCTAGATAGATTAGCCCAACCTAAAGTCTGCAAAGTAGAAATCAAAAAGGTTGAGGCTCCTACTAGTAAAATATATAGAAGACAGCAACGAAAATATTTCTCTGAGGAACTTAGTTCTTTTTCTCTCTGGCAGATGAAGTAAAACAAATTTTCGTCCCTTCTAGTGTGTAAGTAGCACACATTATTTAGTGGTACACTTTGGGTAAAGGTGTATAGCTTGTGTGATGTTCACCAGCGACCGCACAAATTTGCTGCAAGGACACGTCACTATTTTACGTCTTGTTTGACTCTGAATCGTGAAGGACTCTAAGATTTCCCCGCCCCACATTGTAGCCGATCGTGTCCACAGGGAAGGATGTGGTTATACTGAGCAACTGCGGTGATGGTGGTGGCGGTAGGTAAGCAATCTTCTTCAGCAGCGAAAATGGATGTCTCCTTCTTACGACGGCGAAAGACATTGTAAGATCGATGAAGGCAATTTATAATGGCAGCTGCTGCTCTTGACATTTCTCTTCGAGCTGACATCCGGAAAAAAATCATGTCAAACCTGGAGAGCACTCAGCCCTAAATCCACACTGAGATAATAATTGGAAAAAATATATTTAAAATGTCATTTTTTTGCGCCGTGGGTCAACTAGTGTGTTTGTATGTATGCATATATATATATATATATATATATATATATATATATATATATATATAGAGAGAGAGAGAGAGAGAGAAAAGAGAGATAGATAGATATAGATATATATACATATGAGTATGTTTATATATATGTATACATCGATATATATATATATATATATATATATATATATATATATATATATATATATATATATATATATATATATATATAGGTATATATGTATGTGTGTGTATTCGTGTGCGGGAACACACTAACGTAGATAGCTAATAGACTTCGATAGATATAAAGAGTTTTAGATAGATAGATAGATAGATAGATAGATAGATAGATAGATAGATTCTCATGTTTGTAAATAGACTGGTATATATATATATATATATATATATATATAGAGAGAGAGAGAGAGAGAGAGACAGACACAGACAGACAGACAGACAGACAGACAGACAGAGATATATACAGCGAGACAAAGAGAAAGCGATATGATCAGTTTGGGATAGATTGATAGATGTGAACAGACTTTGATAGATAGATAGAGAGATAGAGATAGTGAGAGATATGCGAAGGCTTAGAGACGGATAGGTAAATATATGCACAATGATAGATAGAGAGTGAGATAGATATGAAAGGAAAGACTGTGATAGATAAATAGATTTTCATGTTTGTTACCACGCGATGGTATATATATATATATATATATATATATATATATATATATATATATATATATATATATGTGTGTGTGTGTGTGTCTGTGTGTGTGCGTTTGTATGTGAGAGAGAGAGAGAAAGACAGACAAATAGAGATAATTATATGAACAGTCTGCTATAGTTATTTGTGAACATACTAAGATAGAGAGACAGAGATAGATATGAACAGGCTGAAATAGATAGATAGATAGATAGATAGATAGATAGATAGATAGATAGATATGAATAAGCTGTGATATGTCCTTATTCAACAAAAAGTAGACAGCAGTGGAGAAGCGATATCGTCACGCACATGAAGGTATTGGCTGATTTAATCAGTATTCCAATATTTGTTGCGTCAATTAAGGTCGTAATATTTTTTGCTAGTAAATAAACGGTTATATGGAAAGGGTATTTAAATGCTGATGTTTTCTGTTTGATTCTGTAGGCATTTACTTTGCTCGGGGATAGGGAAATTTTGATTCATTTTAGATGCGTCCGCAAGCATTTGCTCTGGTATAGGAAAATATAGATCGGGAGACAAGGTCGAATTTACTGCTTATAAACTTCAATCTTGTCTTTGTGGCCGAGACGGTTAAGGCACGTCAGCGTGAATGACGGTTCCGTATAGGATGCAGGTTCGAATCTTGTCAAAGAACGAATATTTTCTATGAAAATTTCTCGGACATTCAGGCCGGTAAATGTTATTTAATACTGTTTATCATAAACAGAGCATTTGCTTAAATACTTGTATCTATAAATAACAACGTTAAACATAAAAATGTCTTTAATAAATAAATTGTCGGACCTTGTCCATTTCTTAATATATATATATATATATTGGATCGTGTTTACGATTTCTATGTAATCAGTTATAACCACAGAATATTAGTCTTTGAGCCTTTTATATTGTATTCTTGATCTGTTCTGGTCATTGAAAATCATATATATATATATATATATATATATATATATATATATATGAGTGACATAGAGAACCAATGTTATCTATGAATAGACATGTCCCATGTGGAACTGTGTTCTTGATCAAACCAAATTTATGAATAATTCTATTAGCTTTACCATTTCATGCCTATCAAGAAGACTCTCGTTACAGCTCTTTGGTAAGAGCTCAATTAGGACTCATTTATGCGCATGCGAAAACTAACCAAATTCCATCAACGACATATTTGCAGAAGATACAAGTATAATAACCTCATTCTCATGTAAAAAATAGACTAAAAATAATGGAAGCACAAATAATAAAAAAGAAAAGACAACAATCGATAGCATCAACTATGAACACGGACACAATATGCTGACCGTGTTTGGAAAATAAACATTCCAATCACTCTTGAAACATGTAAAAAATCTACACAGTTAGTTAAAAATAAGAAATAAAAAACATTCTTTATTATGGCCAAAAGAATATACAAAATTATGTCCAGAAAAAGAAAACACATATAGGAACACAAGAAAAATTAATAAAACACGCTGAGTAGTACCTTGTAAGTCTTCAATTAAAATTGTATAAAAGAGAGTTTGCTGCATATATACACAATTATATATATATATATATATATATAATTCTCAGAAACAAACGTAAAGTTTATCTTCGGTCTTTATACATACTTATCTTTTTTTAGAGATATATTTTATTTATAACTGAATTTCTATATACACAAACACACACGGCTATATATATATATATATATATATATATATATATATATATATATATATATATATATATATATAATACCTACAAATTCAAAAGTTTTTGAATTTGTAGGCCTGAAGAATTGGATCGTTATAACGATTCCAATGTAATTAATTATAATCATGGAATATTAGTGTTTTGAGCCTTTTATATTATATTCTTGCTCTGTTTTTGGACATTGAGGTCTACGTGGATTCTATCCTCATTGAAATTTATATATATATATATATATATATATATATATATATATATATATATATATATGTATGTATGTATGTATGTATGTAGTTGTTTATGTCCATTAAAAAGTTTTTCTTACTTGGATGATTGGCGAAACACGATCTTCCTTTTTTACAGCTTCTTCATACATGCCACTATTTCCATATCAGATACATACCCCGTATATTTTTCAATAATCTCTGAAATCTTTCACTTCAATTTTGATTATAAAGTGAAATCGCTTTGCAGTACTTCAAACCCCATAATTTAAACACACACACGTATATATATATATATATATATATATATATATATATATATATATATATATATATATATATGATTTATCAAAGTTTCTATCATATCCCGGATATTACCAAATAATCCTGCTGCCAGCTGCTGACTCGTTGCAAATCGCTTAAGCTCAATCCGACCCCACCCCCCACGTACACTTTCCCTCGCCCTCACTTATCCTTTGCAACTTTTAGATCCAGTAGGTAGAGGCTGGGTTTTCGATCTATCGACCCGATACGTTCAGTTGTTCTAACCGTACGGGGTACATTAAAGCAAAGTGGGGATTAAGTCTGGATCAGATCTGGGGATTTGGATTAAAGGGGAGCAATGTACTTGCAAGAGTAGATATTTGCAGGGTAAAGAAAGAAAGAAGAACGGAAGAAAAATTTTCCAGGGATATTGAGGAAGGAGCCGCCGAACGAAGTAACGAAAGAGAGGAACGGTAGAGAGTTACATCGGTTGGAAGAAAGTTAGTGGGTACATACTGAAGGGTAGAACGTCAGTGAAAAAAAGTGAATGTTGGAAGCGGGAAAAACGTTTGAAGGTCAGCAGGAATCATTAAGTGAAGAATTTGAAAAGATATAGAAGCAGAAATTAGAGAAGGAAAAAAAAGAAAGAGAAACGAATGAGTGAATGCAGAAAGAAAGCGAGGAAAGAGAAATTAATTTGGGAAAAAAAAAGATCTGCAACAATGAAAAGAACTAGTGATGTTTATAAAGGGGAATGTTTAGGTATGAAACATTAAGAATAGAATATTTGGGAAAAAAATGTGATTCAGAAGATAAAAAAGATAAATGCAAAATAACCAGGAAGGAAAAAAGAGGGAGAAAAAGAAAATATTTAGAAAGAGAGGAAGATGTTAAAGAAGTAAACAAGGAGTAATGGATAGCGACTAGTATTGAGGATTCGGAGGACCGAGTTCGAATTCTAGTCGAATCCATTACATTCACTTACGTGCTAATAACCTTGGGAAAGCCATGAATGCTATTATTCTCCTCTCAGCTATGGGTAAATAGCAGGACAGACTGGGTTCTATAACCTTGTGAGAAGGACAACTCAGAATTCAAAGTACCGTAGGCTAACAATTTATTTACTTAAAAATCTTGCTTGTTACAGAAAAATCGACGTTATCTTGCGGCCCTAAATTTCTCAAGGAAATTAAAAGCACTACACACACACACGTATATATATATATATATATATATATATATATATATATATATATATATATATATATATATATATATATATATATATATATATATATATAAAATATATATACAAATGTATATTGTTAGGAAGTCGATCCGAAGCTATATATACTTAACAATGAAATTAAAATTTAAGATACACAAGTACATATCTATTGACTTACTTAATGTTAGAAAGCCGAACATTCTTGTACGTGTGTGTGTGTGTGTTTATGTAGGTGTGATATAATTATTTATTCGAAAATTATAACATAGATATGTTATAAAATCACAACAAAAATAGCCATCTTGTTTCAACACTTCTGGTGTCTTATCTTAAAAGCACTGCACACACACACACAGACATACACAAACACACACGTATATATATATATATATATATATATATATATATATATATATATATATATATATATATGATAAAAAGGCTTAATATTCCATGTTCATAATTTATTTCATTGGAATCGTAAATACGATCCAATTCATCAGACCTACAAAGAAAACCGAAAAAACAACTCCGGAAATAAAAAATAAAATTTAGAGAGAGTGTAAAAATGAGAGTGTGGGATGAATGTTAGAGCTATAGAGAGGGATAACAGACGAGAGAAAGTGTGAGATTAAAATTTAACAGAGAGTAGTTTTAGAGAGGGGAGTCAAAGACGGTTTAAGGGAGAGAAAGAAGTAAATATTTTAACCGTGAATAAAAACGAAAAAGAAAAGAATGTAACGATATCAAAACTTCAGAAAAAATAGAAAATAGAAAGAAAACAACAACAAAAAAATAAATAAACGATTTTGTTCGAAGAGATAAAATCAGTAATTAACAAAAACGTAAGTCGAATAATGTAAAAAGAAAGAAATCTGAGAAGCGTTACTAAACAAATATTGGATTGTAAGGCAGAAATAACAAAATTTAGAAAGAAGAAGGACAGGAGAAAAGAAAACATCCTCAAATAAGAAAGGGAAAGGAATGAAAAGTGAACGGAATTATTAGAGGAACTACGAAATGGTCGTTAAATAAGGAAAGTAAAATAAAAAAGAAGAAAAATATTGAAAGACAAAAAAATGGTCGTTATATTAGGAAATAAAGTATAAATAAAAAGAATGAAACTATTGAAGACAAAATAATGGTCGTTATATAAGGAAGGATAGTAAAAGAAAAAGAATTAAAATATTGGAATACAAAAATGGTCGATAAATAAAGAAAGGATCAGTTCTTTATGCGCGATACACATCAAGGCTATCAAGTATCTTTCGATACATGATTGACGAGACAGATTTTTCCCGCAGTACGTTGCCATTTCTTTCTGCGGTAGATCAGTTGCCATCAAAGTTTTATAGAAACCGGCCTGTCTTACTATTTACCCATAGCTGGGGGGGGAGAAGAATAGCATTAATACCTTTCCCAAGGGCATTAGCACGTAAGTGAATGTAATGGATTCGACTGGAATTCGAACTCGGCCCTCCGATTCCTTAATCCGAGCTGCTATCCATTATTCTAGCGTGTCTATGAGAATATTGGAAGACAAAAATGCTCGTTAAATAAGTAAGCGATAGTGAAATAAAAAAATGGTCGTTAAATAAGGAAAGGATAGTAAAATACAGGAAGACAAAAAATGGTCGTTAAATAAGGAAAAGATAATAAAAAAGAATGAAAATATTAGAAGAGAAACATCTTTTCATTAAGGAAGCGAAGTGAGTTAAGGTGAATGGAAAATAGTAAAAAAAGAAAAGAAGTCGTTTATCAAAAAGGATGAGAAAAAAATGAAAAATTGTCGAAGGGTAAAGAATTCAAGATTTTAAGTGCCTCGTCCTAATGATTTTGAACTAAGACGAGGAGGATCTAATATCGAAAATTTTGTCAGAGTTTCCTTCAAAGCAGCTGGACCAGCCTATTATAAGAGCCTGCTTTCTGCTAAAACTTTCGGACAAATTACACACACACATATATATATATATATATATATATATATATATATATATATATATATATATATATATATATATATATATATATATATATATATATATATATATATATCACTGTAAACGTTATTTTTAGTGAATACTTGTATTTGAGTCGACGGTCTGTTTATTTATTTAAAAGTATATTTATTTATTTTCGAGAAAATAGGCTCTCTTCGGCATATTTTTAATAAGATTTCTAGATGATTCAGGCCGCTAGACGAAAATAAATAAATATACTATTTAATAAATAAAAGGCATGTCTATTTAAATATAGGTGTCCCTTAAAAGTAACGTTTAAAGTGATAAAAATTTGTCGAATTAATAAATTGTTAATATATTTCTATATGTGGTAACCATTGGTCTCGATATACCATGGATCTACTCCCGACGTAGGATGCCTTTTCTCATGTACAAGCCTGGCGATTGTTTTTTTTTTTTTTTTTTTTGGGGAGAGAGAGAGAGAGAGAGAGAGAGAGAGAGAGAGAGATCGGCAGTTGCCAATGCAGCACATCTATCTATCTATATATATATATATATATATATTCATCCACAACATCACAGCTCCTCAGTGTGGTTAGCCGTCCGTATGCTTCAAGTCGGCATCGAAACATGACTGATTTGACACCAGTGAGATATCTTACCACTATGCCATCGTCACACAGCTGAATGGAAGGGGGGGGGGTTACTTTTTTTTTTCTATACGAAATACGCTGGCGTATTTCTTATAGAAATCGGAGAACTCAATTCGTACTTGAAGAGTAATGCTTAATAGCAGCAGGATCCGCAGTTTTTTTTTTCTTAAAGCATTCTTTCAAGAGTTCAACCGGATTCCCGGGAGCATATATCATTATTTTATATGCGTAGTACTTGGAAAGCATTCAATTTCAGTGATAGAGTTAACATAATAACATAAAATAATTGTTATGGTCAAGGTTGCGTTAGTGGATGTGGTGGTAGTGCTGGTACTATGTTTTTTTTATAATTCCATTTCTGTTTGCGTTCAATCATGTTATAGCTGTTATACGTTTGGTATAAACTGTGGTAGCAGAGTACACATGTTTGCATGTGTGTATGTGTGAGGAATTGTAAGTTTCTCTGACAGCCCATGCGGTAGATGTGAAAAGCGTCAATAACACCCCTACCCGTTCCTTGTTTAATCGAACATCGCTACACATAAAAAGCAAAGATCCCGACACAGAAATAGAATTACAACTGCGTATGTATGTATGTCCGAACGCACGGATATGTATCTGCGCCTTGCCCCAAATTGCTTATATGACTTTGTTTGTGTGTACTGAAATGCGTACACCAGTATGTATGTGGCTATGCGCATGATAGTACCACCCCAAACAAATACAGAAATATATTCCATCTTCTTCCATCAAACATAGTCAAACAAACATAAATAGATCCAATTTTACAAAATAAACCAGTTTGTCTGACGATCGCAAAAGCATGAATCCCAACGTCACACACTCTTATCCATCCAACGTATTATATATATATATATATATATATATATATATATACACACACACACACACACACACACACATATATATATATATATATATATATATATATATATATATATATTGTCATCGACAGACAAAAATTTCGCTGCTCATCCGTGTAGCGAGACGTCCGGTGACTTCTAGTTAGGATCGAGATCCAGTTGAACTCTCGTCAGTCGGAGAATCTATCCTAAGCCGTTGAGGCACGGCAGGTATGAATGTGAGTTTAATAGTATTTATTTTTAGATAAGCACGCCAGTGACCGAGAGAACTCGATTGGTTTTATCGAAGAGGATTGCATTAATAGTCAATGTTTACAAACTCACATTTCTCACCAGAGAGCTCAACCGAAATAATTTTTCAGCAGCGCACACACACACACACACACACACACACATATATATATATATATATATATATATATATATATATATATATATATATATATATATATATATATAAATTTAAGACTGGCCTTCAAAAGTGTAAATTTTAAATTCAATTTTCACCATTGAAAGTGAAGTCTGAATATCAAGAGAAAAATAAAATCTCTGGTGAAATAAATTATAACAATGTAACATTAAAGTGGTCTGTTTTTTCTTTAAATTAAATTATTCGCTCCGACTTAACATTGAGCTCTCCGGATTTCATCATCCTTGGGATTATCCATACGGATTACCAAGATTTTCGTTACTTAAAGTATGAACGAACGGTAGGCTCAGATTGAGAAATCGGAGAGCAGAGTTCGAATTCCAGTCGAGTTCATCACCATTCAGTTATGTCATGTTCAGTTTTGTTCTGACAAAACTCCTGTGACAACCCCGCTACCAAACACTATTAGATTCTGTCTTTCAGGTGGGCAACATCGGCGACGTGGAGTGTGAGATGTGCTACATAAGAAAATCCTGGCTAGGCCTGCGACCTGGAGATGTCATAACTCTTCTACCACAGATCTACGGTCTCTCGAGACAGACGAATGCGCTAATAGCATATTTAAAGAGTTAATGGATTTGTTTTTTTCATTAGTGCGCTATATCTGGCATGGCATAGTGGATAAAGGCGTTGGGTTGATCCAGTGACAGGACCTAAAGAGTGTGAATTCAATACTCGGTTAAGGCAGTGGAGAAATCTCAGACTGATAACTGACATCCATTAAACATGGCATGTAGAACTAGAACAGTCTACACCAGTGAGCGAAATAAAGGGTTCAGTTCGACATTCCAACCACCTGAAAAAGGCAGGAGCGCACAACGGTCGAAACGTTGTAATAAATATGGCGACAAAGATGAGGACAATAGTGTAAATAATGTAGTGTGATATATTTTTTATATTTTAAACGTTATTTTTAGTGGATACCCGTATTTGAGTAGACTTTCAGTATATATTAAACAATATTTTATTTTATTTACCCGCTTATAGATTCGAGAAAACATAGTTAAAAAACGGAAAGATTAGAACATTCGACCCACTTAGTAGTAGAAACCACTGTCCAATCCGACGTGCTTTCACCGCTCAGCTACAAGAGACTCATAATGAAGCAACGTTCTATTTGCCTTTAAAGCACACTTTACTTGCTATATTTCTTCGAATGGCATAACTGTTCAGTTTTATATTCGAAACGTAAACAAAGCCATTTCTAAAGAATCCATTATATATATATATTTTTTTAATCTAATACATTACCTTATATTATTATTACGTTAATTTATTTTTAGGTGGATAAGCGTATTTAAGTAGTCCCTCCGTTTATTTTAATCAGTACTTTAATTCGTCTACCGGTCTGCATATTCATGAAAACTTTTAAAACTTTTAAACTAAACTTATTTAACAACTAACAGCCATACTCAGATGGTCGATCAGAAAAAGCGTTCAGTTAGAATGGAGCAAAAACAGCATCATGTTTACATGTAATAGAGTCTATCTTTTTCAATTACTTTAAACTAATTTCATTAAAAAAAACATTTTACATGAATGCAGTTACTGATATAATAGATGTAGACTGTATTTATACAATCGAAGTTAGCCGAGGACATGAAGGGTTAAAACAAAAAAACATGAAGACCCACTTCAGACCACAATTATTTTGGAGTTTTTGAAATTAAGTTTTCCAGTATGCTAGCAGGGCTGTATAAGGGGATACATTCATAAATTGTTAAGTTTGAAGAAAATTGGTTGAAAGTTTATCGAAAAATAAGAAAGAAACCAGTAAAATTTTCACTATATGGGTGGACTCATTTATCAAGTATAATGACTTTTAAACAAACAAGTAATTGTTGGCTACAACTGAGTGAAGTTTGTATTAGATCGCTTGAAAATGGACGGAAATTGTAGTTGAAAATTTGTGATGAAATCGATTTTTCGCTAAACGCAGTGACGTAAAAATAAAAATGAGCTATCGTTGAGCTCGTCATGTAAGCAGTCTACATACCGAGTTTGAACAAAATCGGAGGAAAAAAGTTGAATTT